TCTGCTGGAAGATGCTTACATGGAGGACAGAAGAAATGGTACAAAGAACCATTAAAGGGCTCCCTGAGGTTACTGCGAAATGCTGTAAATAATCTCCCTACCTGGTGTGGCCTCATCCATAAGGGCTGTCAAACTTATGAAGCAATGCATACTGCTGAAACACAGCATAAGCCTGAGCTAGGTAAGACCAGAGTCACTAGTGGAACAACTGCAGTGGCTATACATGTCTGTCGAACTGTGAAGAACATTCAGTGCCCAAAGTGGTCTGATCAGTCATCTTCGGACACAACCCATCTAGTCTTAACATAATTTTTAAATAATGGTGTTGAGGTCTTCACTGATGATGACAGAATAGATATCAGGTACTGAACCTGGCAATTTTGCACACAAAAGCCTGCTCTCGATTAATTTTCACAATATGGATCTGTTAACTGAGATATTTTAAACTGAAGATCAGCCTGAGCTTTGGAAAATGTTTGCTCATATGCAGTACATAATGTTCTGTTCTTGGCTTTACTAACTGGCAAAAAATAATAATAATGTACTGGACATGAATAAATGGATTAATTGCTTCAAAAGCACCAATAAATTCAAATTCATTTTAATAATAAGTATGTCTTGAAGCTAAAAATTTGTGCTAATTGTTTGCTGTTTTCAAAAGTAATATGTAAAATTATAAAATCATATTGATTTATACTTTTGCAACATCCATTCTAATTATTAGGTCTATTTTATGACATATCTTAATTTATTCATTAACTTTTACACGAAGACAGATAAAAAATGGCAGTTATTGAAAGATTTGGCATGGCAATAGGTTAATAGCAAAAAAACACAATGGACACAGATTAACATAGTTTCTGCATATGAAATCTGGGTTCAAGTAGGGAAGTGATGTTTGAGATTGGGGGAAGGGAAAAGTTCAAATCTTTAAGTTCAAGCTTTAATATTAATCAGTATTTGAAACTTGAAACTAACTTCTTTTAACTGCAAGATTATTTATCTGCTAGTTTGAACATAAACTTCATTGGGACTATAGTGCTAGATTATGTCATTAAGGAGTTCAGTTTCATTTTTAGGACAATAATAAATAGATCATTGTACTAAGGCAGCTGTTAAAGGGACCCCAAGATGAGTTATTTGTTTAGTTGGATGTGCCCAACAATAGCTTTTGTTTAAGAAAGAATTAGACAAAACAATTGCAATCTTAAAAGGGCACACTTGAAAACAATTACTTTTCATTCATTTCACAAGAGCCCCAGTTGTGAAATCATCTAAGATAGAGAAAAACCACTATGCTTGACAGTCTGCAAGCAAACTTTAAACCACACACAAAATATTAAAATGTATGGTTTGCTGATGAGATTAGTGAATTAAATTAAAAGAAAGAATAAAATGTCAATGATATCATTACAAAAGAGAAGATTGTCATTTCATTTCTGTGCATTAAAATATGTTCTCTGTTTCATCTTTGTGATTCTTAAGAGACTGGCTATGTTTCTCTTAGCAATCATTAATTTTGATAATAAAATTTGTCAGCCAAAAGGCTGACAAATGTAATCTTAATTTTGGAGGTTCTTTGTAATTAAAGTAATTGCTGAACACATTCCCTTGCTTTAACTCTGCCAAAACACCTTTCCTTAGAATATTTATTTGCCTATTTATTTGTTTGTATCCCATCTTTATTATTTTTACAAATAACTCAAGGTGACAGGCATATCCAACACACCTTCCTCCTACAACAATAACCCTGTGAGGTGGGTTGGGCTGAGAGAGAGAGTGACTGACCCAAAGTCATCCAGCTGACTTTCATGGTTAAGGTGACACTTGAACTCATCACCTCCCACTTTCTATCCTAGTACCTTCACCACTATACCAAACACATATATGCTGTGTCACTTCAAACATATTAATGTAGTTTTTTGATTCCTTCCAGATTACCCTGTTCAGGATTTGATGTCTTTAAATTGGATGCATTTTGAATGAAAAGTCATGTGCCCCAGTTGTCTAATGAACAAGAAATGATTAAAAAAAAAAAAAAACCAAACAAATCCCACATGCATCTATTAGAAAACTTTATGTGGGAGCTAGTTCTATTGAACTCCAAATACTGATCTTAAACCCTACTGCAATTGAAGTAAATTACTTATGTATGAACAGGATTGCACTGTATTCATCCTTACTGTCACTGAAATATAAAGTATGTACTTTCGTTTTTCTGTTTGTAAAAATAAGCAGTCTTTTAAAAATACAATTGCAATTATTTGGTGCATTCTCTCTCTCCTCTATGGTAAAGCTTATGTCTTCCAATTAAATGCATTGTTAAAATGTCACAAATGTGAAAAATGCTAGAAAAACAAATAAGACTTAGAGATCAAATGTCATAACTGTCACAAATTAATAACTCCTAGCAATTCAGGAATTGTTTAAAATCAGTCTCACTGTTACTTCATCACATAAATACAACTTTTTATTTCAAAATTCTCCAGTGAGTTCAAATAGTAGATGTTGTGCTACTGCTGCAGTGGCTAACTGTCAGTGATGCTAACTGGGCAGATTAAAGACATTTTCCTTCCCAGCTTGGCTTGGACATTTGTGGGTTTCAGTTAGAACCTTTAGAAAATTATCTGAATGCCGTTAGTGTGCAGTTAATGTGATTACCACACAGGAGCTTGCTGACACTACCTCTGGCCAAACATGAGGAGAAAATATCCATCCAAGCTCCTGTTGCATCTGTTAAGAATAGAGTTTGATTCGCTGAAACCCTGCAGCAAAGGCAGCTCTCACCCATCTGGGAGTGGAGGCAGTAGGACAAATGCTCCCTCAAAAGGCATGAACATTTGGACAGAGCTGGGGACTGAAGGAGAATGATGTTCTCCAGTTTCACCCATTACTGAACCAACCAACAAACACAATGGTGTTGTTGTTATTCTTTTGCCATAAGCAACAGGACTCTGTGTGTGGGCAGCAGTTTAGTGGGGAGGAGGATAAGTCGACCCCTTTTTGTCCTATTGATTTTTTCCCCTATTTGCATGACTTGAGCAAATTAAATGATGCAATATGGCTTTTTGTTACAAAACAAAGTGAGAGATACCACCCAGACACATATGTTGATTCGTAGAAGCTGTTTACATGAGAATGGGGTGAAATCTACCGTGAACTGAGCATAAAAATTCGATTCAGCCTGGGTATTTTTTTTTTAATTGTGCTTGGGCCAGAAAGACTGAAGCACAAGTTTTCCAAGCCACTCTCAGACCTTGACAACTGCAGTGTTGTAACAGAGGAATTCTTAATTAAACTAAATGCTGGAGGGGGGGGGAGAGGGAGGGCAATGAGAAAGACACCTGATTGTTTGTTTCACGTGCAGTGATTCTCAATGACATTTATTCATCCCATTTCCCTCCCTAGCTTCAGTTTTGCACGTTGCACTCCTGATCAAAACAATAGGCTGCAAAACTTATAACATCCACATGCTAAAAGGCAGTGAATTGCGGCCCCATTAAGAAGCAGACTATCTTCTTATTCTAAAATAGCTAGATTGTCATTCCACATCACATTTCCAATAAAAGTTACACATTAATGCTCTTTTCTCAAGTCAATGAAATATTTATAGATAGAGAGTTCTGAAGCATAAGAGTCAATGTATTCAACATTTCGCTCTTGGTAAAACTAATGTCAACCACTGCACATATGATATTATCCTATACCGACTTGCTGTGAACAAGTTCATGGAATCATCCTGTTCTCTCAAGTTTCTCTCCAGAGGAGCCTGAGTTAATTACTGGAGGACCTGAAAGGATCATAAAAGTTTTGCAGTATCCTGGCATCATCTGCTCTCCCAGTCACTATCTGCTGTCTTAAGTTTCCTGCCCAAACATGTGGACAAACTGTGAACACTTTTCTAGCTTCAGGGGGAAAAAACAACTATCACCACCTTAATTTACAATTCATCACTATCATGGCATGCCAAATGAGTCCAAGAAAATCCACTAATCCTTCTTGACAGATTCCTCCATCTGCAACATCTTCTTTTCAGCTATGGTCCAAATTGTACCTGTTTCTACTTTATTCATGAATTCATTTCTGCATTTGCTCCTATTTGTTAGCTGAAATTCTCAGAAGGATGTTTCTATTCCTTTCCTTTGCTGGTTTCTTATCTCAAAATTTGTCTTTTAAAATAAATACATAAACCTTGCTGTCTTCATAACATATTGCTTCCCTCCTCCTCTTCCATGGATGTTTGGAATCCCCTGAGCACCTGGCTAGTAATGGCAGAGGTAAAATAGATTGTTTAGTGTATGCAGGGTTTATTCTGTTGCCTAATTATTCTTCAGCATTTAGAATGCATCCTCCTTCTAATTGTGAAGGTCAGTAATAACTACTACTACTCATAACCCACTTGACATAATTTGCCCAGGTGGAACAAAGATACAGGATGCTGCAGTTAGATTCAACACAAAGAAACATTTAAAATTAACCCCATTTGGTAAGAAACACCCCAAACTGGATTACACCAATGCCAAAAGTGCAACACCTAGAAGGAACAGCATTTTCCCATACTGCTTCACTATGTTCAGTGAAGTCTATTGTTCAGTCAGCTTTTCCTCAATCTAGAGCCTTTCATGGGTAATAGATAACAGCTCCAACCATTCTCACCCAGGGTCACAAGGGTATTTAGAAACAGTGCCACCGTAATCCAAGGAAGGAACCCCACAAGGAACACTTCTCAATCCACAACTTCCAACAGTCAATGAAGTGGCCTTCCAGTCCAGCACAACTCAGAACCTAGCAAAGATGATTTATTACCTTCTTCTATCCCTCCTGAAACCACTCTCCAAGCACTGTTAAGTGATGCCTGTGAGTTCCACCTCTTGTTCTCAATTGGTTGTCCTCCCTCTCCCAAATCATTAGAACCCTAGATCCAAAGATCGGTTTCTGGTAAACCTTGGCATGCCCCTTCGGTCTCTCACCCAACCCTATCCAACCCAACTGGAGCCTACCTTGTTGCTCTCTATCTGGAGCAATCCTTGCCTCTCAGCCCTGGAGCAGCAGGACAGGCGGGGGTAGAATCCCTGGCAGAGCAGCTCCCCTCTGTTGGGGGGCTCCAGGAGCATCAGCCTCCTATCGCGCTTTTTGAGGCGTCTGGGGGGGCTGCCATTCAAGCACCTTCTCCTCTTGGCCGGGGTCTCGCCAAACTTGGTTTCCCCTTCAAAGGAGCAGAGGACCAGGGCCACCAAGAGCAGCTTCCACGGGAGCATCTTCAGCCCCACCACGCCGCTGGGGAAAACTTCAAGCGCCGGCTGGCGTGACCCAATCCCAAGGCAATCCAAGGCGAGGCAAGGCTTTCTTTTGGGAAACCTCGGGAGTTTGTGTTTTGTTTATACGAGAGGTCGATTCCCAAGGCGAATGAGAGGCCCGACAGCGGAGGGACGGGCAGCGAGCAAAACTCCGCGGGCCACCAGACAGACAGGCGCACGCCCCAAGCTGAGCAAAGGGAAGAAGATGCTGAGCCTCGACGCGGGGCGTTTGCGCCACTTGACAAGAGCGGCCGCAGGTTTAACAGGCGCTCCTGCGGCGCCCAAGCGCGGAGCGTAAACTTCTCCGGGCTGAGGATTCTCCGCGCGGGCGGCCGAAGCGAAGGAGGCGACGGGGGAGACGGCAGCCGCAAGTCCCTTTTCGGTGTTCCATATAAACGAAGCCGCCGTTCTAAGAGGACAGCCTGCCGGGCGTGATGCCTCCTCTGCTGCTGCCGGCGGGAGCTGGAGCTCACTAGGGCTCTCATGTTTCGCTCCCTCTTTTCTTCTTCTTTTTAAGCAGCGCGCGGGGAGGTGCTGCCACCGCGCGCCCCTACACGTCACCGAGGAAGGGATTCGCGGGGATACGACGGAGAGGAGCGTCCGAGCACGCGCGGCGGCGCGAGAGGGCGCGAAGAAGGGGAAGGCGCGGCGGGGAGTCGCCGTCGCTGCGGCGAAAGACGGCGCGTGCGCGAGCGAGCGAGCGACCGCGCCGAGCCGAAGAGAGCCGAAAGTGGGGGGGGGGGGGGGGGGGGGGGGGGGGGGGGGG